TAATTTCTCTCGTAATTTAGGTTAATAATTTTGTTCAAGGTAAATAGAGGAAAATGTATATTATTATCTCCATTTGCTATCAAAAGAAATTGCTCCTTTCGGAAAATAGCTCTTCAAACGTTTTACATGTTATAGAGAAACTGATATAAATTAACAGAGAAATGGATGAAATCAATAAAACAAAGTAGATACTGAGTATGAATCAGGGAACAAACTGAAAGTTTCGTCTCCTACATGCTGCCATTTGGACAAAACCGTCTTTCTCTTTTCTTTCTACCTTTTCTCTTCCCCCTTTCTTATTCTTCTGCCCGTTTCTTCCCCTTTTCCCCTTTTCCCCTTTTCCCAGGTAGCAAGCCCAAATGGGGCCCATATGGGGATGATCTGGGTCACTTGTGCCATCTGGGCTAAATGGAACCCATATATGTCTCCCATACTTGAGGCCAATATTTAGTAACCATATGTAAACTATGTGGGCCAGCCCTTATGGGTCCCAGATGGGAATGAGCTGGGCGTATTCATATGGTTAGAATATGAATATGCCCATATGGGTAACACATGGGAAAAATCTGGGTTAACCCACGTGGGATATATCTGGGTTAACCAATATGGGTACCTGATGGGATTAAGCTGGGCATACCCATTTGGGCCCACTTTGGTATGGGTCCCATCTGGGTCCCATCTGTCTTATATGAGTTTACCCATATGGGTCCCATATGCTTATTGGGTGCAGATGCCTTAGGTCCCCAGATGGTTTTCCATATGTGGGTCCCACATGGGCTTGCTACCTGGGTTATTATCATCTCTGTCTCTCATTATCTTTCTCTCTCCCACTCTCTACCTCTTTTTTGCACTTTTGCGCTTCGCGCAGCACATTTAGCATTTATTCTAACATATTTGGTTTTCTGGACAACTTCGATTGGTTGATCATTCAAAATGTAAGCGGGCGAGTCAACCCTTTTGCGCGCTGCGCATAATCTCATCACTTTTGTTTTGGAGATATTTAGAGACATACGGTTAAATAAGCACAATTAGAGACTTTAGTGAGATCGTTTTGCAAGGTAATTGAATCAACAATTGATCTTATTGGCCTAAATATGATAGTGTCATCGGCGAACAACACAATAGAAGAGTCAACTAAGGATGTCAAGTCGTTTATAAACATGTTGAACAAAAGCGGTCCAATCACACTCCCTTGGGGGACACCAGATGGAACTCTAGCCTATTCAGAGATAGCACCTCTATAGATTACTCTTTGGCGGCGACTGCAGAGTAGTGACTTTATCCAGTGCCAGAGATTAACACTGATGTTTAACTGAATGGCTAACTTCTACAACAACACATCAGGAGGCAGTTTATCGAAGGGTATTACATCGACCGGGCAAGATTTAGGACCTTCCAAACACTTCAGCCATTCATGTGTGAGACGTAATACTTGGGTGACACACGACTTTCCTTTCCTAAACCGTGTCGGGAGGTGTTGATTGGACATGAGGAATCAAGATGAGATTCTATTTTGGAAACTATCAGCGATTCCATGATTTTACTGCCAACTGAAGTAAGAGCCACTGGACGATAGTTAAACAGAGATGATTTATCACCAGATTTAAACACGGGTGTAACATTGGCAGATTTCCACACGGTTGGGAATTTACCAAGACCTAGTGATACATAATAGATACGCTGGAGGATGGGAGCTGTCGCAACGGCAGTATGTTTCAGCAAGGACGGAGAGAGACTATCTGGACCAGGGGCTTTCTTTTCCCGGAGAGAAAGTAGTTGGCGGTAGACATCACTTACACAGATATCAAAATTATGCAGCTGGTTAATTGGGAAGTCACACTTCTCAGGTTGACATGGAACTCCCTGGGGATCATTAAAGGAGGTTTGAAAAGCTGCAAGAAATTCGGATAGCTGTATAGGTGTCCTGGTACGCTGCAAGTGGTGTATCTATATGCATGGGGGCCGGCAATTAGGGGCACCTTCCCAATCTCCCAAACAGAAAGTGAAGAATGAGGAATAAGGGGGATGGGATCACAGCGTAAAGGAGATGGATGACTGATTAAGGGAGAGGGGTGTAATGTAAAGGAAGAGTATAATAACAGGAATTTGGGATCAGGATCGAGGTGATTGAGCTAGCTGCAGTCGGTAAAGCGTCTGCGTGTCGAACTAAAGATCGAGAAAACTTAAGAAAGAATGTGACAATTAGAAATACTTTTTTAAAGGTCGGGTGACATCAATATCTTGGTTGATTCCAGTTTATGTGCAGGGCTGCCTACAACTCATATTTTGTTATTCAAACATCTAAATATATTTCATAGATATTTAAACATTTGTTTAAATAATTTTATCAGACCTGCTAAGCTCTACACTAAAAACATACTCCATATCTAATTCATCTTGTGACATCATCTGTTGATCATTAGTGAGCTAACAAGAGACAGTGGTATGCTACTTCCCCCAACTCAGCACATGCTTAAAAAATAAAAAAAAATACCTCCACATTTCATTTTATTGTGACGTAGCACGTCTGACATACGCTTTGTTCAGACGGGGGCTTCCTGGATCCGCCCTTGAAGTGGTGGCGCCCGCACTAGTCAACCTCAACCCACCTTCCGCATCCAAACCGTGCGAAATCTAATTCTCATTTTCGCCCATGTAAACAAAGTACTGTAAGTTCTGCGGTACTAACACAAACCCCCTAATCGTACAACCCACGCAATGAAATTATGTCGAAATGTGGGAATAAGCAAATGAAATGATTTAAACGAGGACATAAGATCAAGTTCAACTTTGTCAACATTTAAAGTTATGTGCAAAAGGGAACTATTTTTTAAATTGTAAAACTGGATATGACAACCGTAAGTTTTCATCTCATGTTTCGCATTTTTCATGTGCTTCCACTTCTTCTTCTTTTTCATTCCACTTTTTCTTTTTAATATTCTTTTCTCTTCTCCTCCTCTCCATCTCTTTCTCTCTCTCTCTCTCTCTCTCTCTCTTTAGAATATGCTTTAAAGTGCATTTTTGTGTCTGAGTATGTGAGTAAGACTGAATGTGTTTGCAAAATATTTGAAACTGTTTTGTAATTGTATGTTAATGGATCTTTTAAATAGCTTTGCTTCTCAGGGATTCATAACCTGTCATTACAAGTATTGTAATTGTACACGTATCAGTGTGATTGTGAATTGTTTTTAATGATTGGTTGAATACAAAAAATAAAGACCACTGTAGGTCTATTTCCAGGGGTGGCAAAAATCTGTCTTCAAACCTTGTCAAGCCTTCTCCTTAACGAATCTCTGATGAGGAAAATTCATCGATACTGGAATCTTGGAGTTAAAAATTTCCGTTGCCCGAACACGAGATTTCAGTTTCTGAAACTTGACGAGCGAACGAAAAGCAAAATGCTTGATCATGCACTTTTATCAGATTATAAAATTATCATGTTTAAATACGGGATAAAATGGCGTCCCGGAGTAGTTATCATGTTTCATCAACTCAGAACATCTGGTCACCCTGGGCCTACGTGCAAAAAGACAAGAACACTATTAAGCGTTAACCCTTAGCAGCAAACAGTGACTTCTGTCTGTTCTCAAGATATCATAAAAATAATTTCTGCAATATCATTGTCGTATCAATGAAATAAGATAAAGCCGGAAGCTCTGAAAATATACTGAATGTATATCATCACCAGAGGCGTAATTGTACATTTCATAAAGGCAGGGGTACTCGGATTATTTTCTATATTTCAACCAATATCTAGTTGCTCGTTTTACACCCAAATGTTTAAAGTTATTATGATCAATACTCATTGCTATCACCGATGGTAATGGTTTTATTGAAAATTCATTTGCAGCCAGCAGAATGTTGAACATTGTGTAAAAACATAAATATATATTCAAACATAAATCGTATTAAGACATATCACACAGTGAATGGATTTTCTAAATAAATCAGTGTATACCTATATATACAAATTAATAAAATTCGCTTAACAGCTAACAGTTGCTTAAATCTATTCCACAATCATTATAGGGCTGGAGGAAAATATAGAAGGGAGGTAGGGAGGATAATAGTGCAGACAGCACAATAGATCCGGAAAAAGTGTGAGATAGAGAAAGACAGAGGAAGAGAAAGGGAGAGAGGGAGAGAGAAAGATAGACAAAGCGAGAGATAGAGAGAGATATATATAAAAGATAATGCTGAGGATGATAGTGTACATCAGACATATCGAAAATAAGGTAAAAAGTACAATTTCGACAGAGAGAATACTGGTTGTAGATCCATAAATAACATTATATTTTCAATCATTACAAAATTACAAAAGAAGAAATAATTACATTACAATGAAGGCTAGCTGAAGCATGATCATGCATTCTTTAACACATACTTGTTGTCTAAAACAGTTATTTCTAAATATCTAGTGTAAGTGGTAACAATATGGTTTAATTTGATTGAATCTCCATCTTTAATACAGCAATCATCCTAGATCTGTTTTGCAATTCAAGCAAAGTAACTGAGTCGACTTTCAACAGCTGACGAGAAATATAAAACTTATTTAACATAGTTTTCTTTAATATTCAGAACTTTTAATTATCATTTAACAGAAAGGCAATGCGCCATGCAACTACCAAAAGCTGTTAATTCGACTGAATAATAAACCCTATTTTCACAAAAAGTAAGAATTGACTAAATAATAATAAAAATACTTTCTAATCAGATAGTTCTCATGAAAGGAGGGATATACCCGAATTCAGACCTGTATCTACGCCCTTTGACTCGTAAGAATAACAAGAGAGACGAAATAAATAATGAAAATTGGTTGTTTCTATTTAAGGCACTGATAACATATTAATCCAGACAATAGAAATAAAAGTTGCTTGCTATATATAAACTTGTTTTTAATTGCTTGTGTTGAATTTTGATCACGTGGATTTCCAACCTTTGCCCACCACGTTGCGTCATGCGATCCTCGGGAAAGCTCCATGTGTTGCTCTTAAAAGACTTAAATACAGCTCACCATGCCTAGCCAATCATTAGATCTGATCAGTGCTCTACTAGATCATCACTCTGCAGACCAACCGAAGCTTTCTTTTAGATCGTCAATCATCCGAGGCCAAGAATCTGGTAAGTTGTTCATATTTACGGGCCACAATATTTCAGCCGATCTTCAAAGAAAGAGTCAGAATGTTCAGCACATCCAAACTAGGGCTAGACATTTAAATTCCATTAAAAAATAGTAGTGCAGATATCTTCAGATAATTCCCGCCTTTGGTGTAATTGGTTTAGAAGCATTTCTCCATCGGGTATTCACCACTTCTTGTGTCTTTTCTTTTTCAGCCATGATGCGTTTTTTCATTTCCCTTCTCTTGGTGGCTGTTGCCACTGCCGAGCTGGCCCCTCTGTTAGAGAACTCTGAGCCCATCCCAGGAAAGTACATCATCAAGCTGAATGTGAGTATTAAATTATTGTTAACCTCACCACCAGTATCCCGAAACCGAGACAAGAAGAAACTTTAGTTTTGTTCATATAGCAATAGGTTTCGTGGTCAACATCACAACTTAGACATTACAAAGTGAAGGAGACTTCTCTTACTTTCTCACTGATCATCAAGTGTTACCTGACTATAATGAGTTATCTATTCCAAGCTTTGCAGAACTAAAAGATTTCTTCTCACGTTATTTGACCGAAACATCATGTTTTTTAACGTAAATCAAAAAAATCAACACCTAATAATAATTAGTATGGAACAACATAAATGCCCGTTTTCTTTCGTTCGATATTCTTCACATAATATATCAATAAATTGGATTCATAATAGCAATATTTCATTCGGTAAAGTTACCACTATATTACTCCAACGTAGTATGCAATATACTAAGTGAGAAATGAAAAGCCTGTGTTCTTCATTCTTCCAGGAGGCGAGTTGGCTCAGTCGGTTTAAGCATCTGCCTGTCGAACAAAAGGTCGTAGGTTCGAATCCAACCCAGGTAGATGACTGAAGCCTGCTTCCCCCCGTTTCAAAGACGCAGGCTAAAGGTTGAAGTTAAAAAACCCAAGTCCCTCGTATAGGACGTAAATAGAGGCCCCGTGTAGAGGAGACTCTATACCATTGCACACATAAAGCCAAATGCTTACTTCCTCACAATTCCCTTAAAATATATATATTCGCTGTGCCTTTCCAGACAGCAATTCAAGAAAAGTACTCCCTTTGAAACGAAATTAAGTGAAGTAGGAATGGGTAACGCTTTTTTTAAATGACTATATAGATATAAATAACATCTAATTACAGGAAGAATTTGACGTTGATGAAATGGCCGCTACCGTTCGTCTCTCCGGCGGAAAAGTTGGCGCCATTTTCAGAGACGCCATATATGGATTCGCTGCCGAGCTCGAAGATGATATCCTCGATATTGTGAGTAATTCTAGTTTAAGGTTTCAGTTTATCTTCTCTCATGGGCTAACATTTTAACTTGTTGTTCTTAATGTAATTCATGGAAATAGACACAGGTTTTTTTTAATCTCAAGAATAATGGACCGATATTTTCGGATTTTCACCAGCTAAATGTTCTGTGGCAACTGCATGTCCGATGGTTATATTTTATCTGACTCTCAAATACTCAATATATAAATTGTGTTCGCTGCTGCCATGGAAAATAGAAATCACATTTTTTTTTTTTTTTTTTTTTAGAGGGGGCTTAGTGGAGATTTCCCTTGGGCTGAAGGTATTTTATTCAACAGGATGACTCTAAAATGGACTAGCATACTTTCAATAATAGAAGGCAAATTTCACCAGTACCGCTCGATTGGAAACTTTGCAAAAGAGAAATGATACCAAACTAAGCAAATAGTTTTCTTCTTTTTGTTCTAGATATATTTTTTTGCAAAACAATGTTAAAAACGTCTACTGGGAGTGCTCCTTGTAGGTAACACATGTTTTATTGTGTAGTTTCAGAAATTGTATTCTACCAGAGTTTGGGGCACGCTTTTATAAACGTCAGATTGAACATATATTTTTATTTTGTAGGCGTTTCTTATGATTTTTTAAACCCAGACATGAAATTATACGAATCATTTAAAATGCAGTTTCATTGAAAGGAACTCCTACCTTACGTCATAAAAATGCTCCCTATTATTCCCTATAAACCAAATTTGTCAATCTTACTAAAATATTTCGCGTGAATAGATTCTCCTTCCGCTGGTTCTTATGAATTTGATCCTACATTATTAGAACTATACTTGTCCTTTTTTCATTTTGAAATAAAAGCATCTTTTATAAACGCCGACAGCAGCCCTTTTCACCGGAGTAAAGAGCGATAATATATAATGTACGTTTGATATGCATCCTTCACTCAGGTCCGTAGCATTCCCGCCGTTGAGTATGTTGAACAAGATGGTGTCTACCGTACTCAAGTCACATGGGGCCTGGATCGTGTTGACCAAAGAAATCTCCCACTTGACAACAAATATTCATCACATAATGGTAGGAGACAGCACAATTTTCTACAGCATCAGTAATATAAAGAGTCATTGAGGGAATATTTTTCAGACATAAACATTGTTTGAAACGCAAGAGGTACGGCATTACAAACGAATTTAAAAGATACTTACAGTTTCAACAGTTTGAATTGCATCGCTTTTCCGTTTTTATTATGCGTTCGTTTGCGTGTGTGTGTGTGTGTGTGTGTGTGCATTTGTGTGTGTGTGTGCGTGTGTGAATATGTGTGTGTGTGAGTGTGAGTGTGAGTGTGGAAAAGTTAACTACTGGAAGAACGTAGTTTTCATGGCAATTGAATAATCTATCTAACGAACGTTTGGTTTGTTATTATTATTATTGTTATTGTTATTATAAATGAGGATGATGCTACTGATGGTGATGATGATGATGATAATGATGATGATGATGATGAAGATGATGATGATGAAGATGATGATGATGATGATGATGATGATGATGATGATTGTTCATATCTTTCACAGGTAAAGGGAGTGGGAAAACTGTTTATGTGATCGACACAGGCGTAAGGGCGACCCACACTAATTTCGGTGGTCGTGCGAAGCAAGTGGCAAACTATGCTGGTGGGAACAACGTGAGTAAAATGTGTATATATTTGCGATTTCCTTCCTTTCGTGTAGATTATTTAACGTTTTAGCTCGCGATTTTTTTTTTATTTCAATTTGTTATTGAGAAGTATGTTTATATGTATAACTCTAATTACTATGCGAGCGAACCCTGTTTTATCATAATGCTAGATTCAAAACTGACGTTACACGTATACCTATGCAGTAAGTTACATAATTTCAGTTTGGCTGTGAGGGAATAAGCTGTAGCCTCACAAATGTTACATTTGTTTATGAGAGTGGGATATGAAACAAATAGACCTGAAAATAATTGAATTGTTTCGCAAAACAGGAAGATTGCAACGGACATGGAACCCACTGCGCTGGAACGGTCGGCTCCAATACCTACGGTGTGGCCACATCAGTCCAAATCAGGGGAGTCAAGGTTCTGGGCTGCTATGGTACTGGCAGCAACAGTGCTATCATCTCAGGTAAACAAAACAAAAACAACAAAAAACATTAATTTTGTCAGAAAAATGTAATTTACCAAAAAAATAACGATATCTTGATTCTAAAACCCCTGATAATATATATGTTTGTACATGTACTGCCGAGATAGCCTATATGTATTGATGAATTTTCAGTGACATTCTTAAAGAGTATAGCATGTTTCACTGATAGTGGTGGTCTTCAATGAGACCCTGTTTGGTAACAACAAAATGTCATAAAAATCATAAATACATACTCATAACAGTGGAAGAACTAAACAAAGAAGAAAATAAGTATAAATATATATAGAGAGAGAGAGAGAGAGAGAGAGATGTGGAGTTTTTAATGTTGCATATTTGCAATATCGTATTCCATGTATAGATAATCTTGAATTAGGTGAAATATAATCATTACCTTTTAGACACTTTTTGTTTTTAGAAAATGTCATCGTACAGTTTCAGAACCTCATAAACAAAATATAAAGATGATCTTGTGTCAACTCAAAGCCACACATAAGATACCAAACGTTTTAAATATATATTTTCATTGCATATATTGCAAGACAGAACTTGTTTCAAATTGATTTAAAACTGTTATTGGAGACACAAGGCGGGAGCTATGTTTAAAACATTCTGAGATGGCGAAGATAGAGAAGTATATATCATCTCCATTTTTCAATCTCTCTTAAAACTTTTAAGGACAGGCATTTTCCCAGATTGTTCCTGGATGATAACAATTTGGTTTTAATATCCCGATCCAGAATCATCGGTGAAAGTTTTAAAAAGTACCGATTTGGGCGGGGCAGGGTGTAACTGCCAAGCTTACAACACCAATGTCAAAACGTTCATATTTCGTTTTATTGACGCCCGTGTAATGTGTTTTTTCTTCAAATATTGGTTCTAATTCCTTTTCTCAGGGGTGAATTATGTAACCAATATTGCAAAGTCGACTAATAATCTTGTGGCCTCGATGTCTCTTGGAGGAGGCGCTTCAACTTCCCTGGACAACGCCGTCAAGAGCATGATCAACGCAGGAGTTCCAACTGCCGTGGCCGCTGGTAATTCCAACAAGGATGCTTGCACTACTTCTCCAGCTCGTCTTTCCAACGTAAGTTTTACCATTGTCTAAATTATTATTGCATGCTGGCCCTTACAGATCAGGAATTTTATGTTCCTATATTTTATCGTATTAGACTTTTTGATATGTGTAATAAATTACTCATTATTGTGGTTCTAAAAAGGTCTGTAGTGTTTTCCATACATGTCAGTACCAAAAATCTTATGTATATACATATGGTAAATAAACTTTTCCAATTGCCGTCAGTCAGTTTCGTTTCAAACGCACGGACAGAACTCAATATACAATATTGAATAGAGTTGGTATAGCAGTTTCAGTTGTGTTGCCAAACTGAAAGAAAAATAGAAAATTCCCGCATCGAAAGCTTTGGACATATTCACCATGTAGTATGTTTCTTTGTAGAGAAAACCTTTTTGATAACATACATCTAACTGATTATTCATGCAATGCTCATCTCTGATTATTCTTAGTAGGCTCAATGTTAATTGACGTAAACTAAAAGAAAAAAGAGCACTGTTATTTTAATCATCATCATTATCATCTTTATCATAAAAACTATTATGATTATTATTATTACCATAAGTAGTGGCAAAGATGGTAGTAGTACTATCATCATCATCATCGAAACTTGTGCAAACTACTTTTCAGCTAAGTATTCGAGTAATCTTTAATTTCTATTTTGCACACCTATGAACGTTTGATTCCACACTGTGATTTGATTCGTAATGATTCTGTACTTTAATAACTTTAATTTTTCAATCAATGATCCAATTTACTGAACATTTTTACACTTTAAATACTGAGCAATTAGTCCTTGGACTACTACACTTTTCTAGCATTTTCATTATCCTCATCATTATTATTATCATTATTTAAATTGATATTACTTTGATTAGTATTGTCATTGCCATTATCGTCACCCTATTATTATTAATAATAATAATGATTATGATAATAATAATTATAATAATAATAATAATAAAAACAATAATAATCAAGTTTAAGTTCAAGTTCATATTATCGATACTTTTAAAATGTGAAACGACGAATTTCCATTGTTTAATTGACAATAAATATGAAACTTATGAACCTTAACCTTATTCTCAGCAATATTAAAGCTAAAATAAACAAAATACCGTAACATTGCAGGCAATCACTGTTGGAGCTACGACCAACAAAGATAAGCGTTGGTCGTCCTCCAACTACGGAAGCTGCCTAGACATCTTTGCTCCTGGTGCTTCCATCACCTCCACTTGGCATACTGGTAATAGTGCTACCAACACAATCAGCGGGACCTCCATGGCCTGCCCACACGTTGCTGGTATGCATGGATTTTAAATACCGGTTTCTTGTTGTATAACTCCATCACATTAATAAGGACACGCTAGGTAATTATATAACTTCACATGTACATCTATAGGTAAATATTGGTTTGTTTATGTTATCATTTTTGGTTGAATTGCTCTTGTATTTCCATGTATTCCATATTCTGATTCAATCTATGTTAAAACAATTGTGCTCTGTCGATGTTGATTTTCGCATAAAATCGGAAATCCTACATTTCTCCAGCGTATCTCTGGCCACAGACTGCATCTACAGTCATGCTCTAGGAATTTATGGTCTTGAATGTCACTGATCGAGCTGGGGACAGAACTCATGGACATGGTCCATATTATATGTTTTGTTTTATTGACTGTCATATTTTTAAAGGTGCAATTGCTTGCTACGGAAGCAGTTCAAAGATGATGGCAAACACCTCCAACAACAAGATTTCTGACACAGGAAGTGGCAGTCCTAACAAGCTCCTCTACGTCTAGGTGGGTACAATTCTTAATTCTGTTTTCTCTCTCATTCTCGGCATGCTTTATGAATCTAAAGTTTGCGAATGCATTCATGCAGTCCCAATTACCCTACACATCTATTTGGTGGGAGTGTAGACTACACGGATTACACATTAGAATTGTAGCCATTGTACAAATCATAATGATAATAATAATAATAATATTGATAGTACAAGTGAAAATTTACAATAATAACAACAATAATAATGAAATCATATTACTACGAAGATTCATTCTTATACTATTACTGATGTTACCTCTCATTATGATAATAAACATAATAATCGTGACGATAATAATAATTATTATAATGATAATAATAGTTACTATCAAAATAGTGAAAATATTCATGAGTATTTATTAAGCACTATTTCCATCATGCCAAATGCATCAGGCTTTAGAATCGAAAAATGACAACGCTGTTTAGTGTTGAACAAATTATATAGCGAGAATTAATGATGAAGATACAATATGGAAATATACATGTATAACATAAACACAGTACGGACATATCCATGGATATTTAGACACCATATCTAAATATACATAGATAAGTTAAACACATTATGAAAATTGTTTGATTAATGAAACACAGTTTGAACAGGGTTACATGTAATTGAGCAAAGAGTGCAAACATTCATCAAAATAAAATCACATTGTTTTTCGAAAACACCAGCGGTGGTGATCTTGGCATCTTTATCAATATTTTTTGCGAATTATATATTTTACTTACTGTAGTTGTAGATGTTTTTTATAGTATTTTGTAAATTTTCTCCTCTTGATTTTGATTTTCAGGGAGTGACGCTGGCCGGGCCCCCTAGAGCAGAGATAAGAAAATGGAAAGAGAAAACACAAAATTGCGTTTGATTCATTTTTCAAATCATCATGTAATTTTGATTATTCTTGAGACATGTTAATTGGATCCTCGATTACATGTGACAACTTCACATTTTTTTTTTCGCCTTGCCGATGATAACCTCCAAAAGAATGTAACATTCAATTTAATCGTATTGGATAAAAATGCATGTACGTGGTGTATTATTGGTTTTTTAAGTCATTAAACACATTCTAAAACTGCCGTTAAAATATCGAATTCTTTACAGAATAAAATTGCAATTGAACCCTATTTAACTTGTAGAGCTTGCCTTTGTAAAAACATATGTCGTGTTGCGGTGAGTGACAAAACAACAAAATAGGTATTCGTATTCGGGCCGTTTTATCTATCATGAACCATAAGGGAGAATCTGTTTCTTGCTAGCTCGCTTTGATCACTTACAAGAAATCGAAACAGAAAAGACAATAATGGGGTAAGAGGCGCCAACCACCCTGGTTTAAAAAAAAAGATTACCCTGCGCTTATGCTACATATTAAGCTTGACCCCAACCTCACGGTACCCGTTTAACCGAAACCTAGATACAAATGCGTAGGAGAATTCCCGCGTGGAAGAGATGAAGTATCATCAAAATGATAAACGTAATGGTCCGTATTCTCAGAACTCAATTAATGACCCTAGGTCTATGATCACATTTAACAAATGGAAACGTAAACTAACTGTCAACCTTAAATTTTAAGTTGAAATAAGTAACAGATTTTATCACAGAGAAGGCAAGAGAGTTGAAGAGAAAGATGAATGGCCAAATTTTAAATGAAGCGAGTGAGAAGAAGAAATAGTGAACGATACAGGAAGAAAGAGAAAGATGACAAGACCGTGAGCGGAGCAGTTGAAGAGAGGATATATAAAAAGAGAGAGAGAGGGAGACAGAGAGAGAGAGAGAGAGAGAGAGGGGGGGAATGCGGAGGAGTTGGGAAAGGTATGAGTACAAAAGACTGGATAAAGGAAAAGGTTTTCGAGTGCCGGAGTGGGTGTGAGAGCCTGGATGAGACAGCGGGTGGTTTTCTCGAAAGCGGACTAAATTTAGTTCATCGTTTAATCCTTCTACTTAGTATGAAATGCCAAGTGTCCGTATGAATATGTTTTTTAATAATTTGATATGTCAATAAATTACCATGACAACAACATTATTTCACAGTTATATTGTCGTTATTAACTATGTTAATACTAAATATTTCTTTAACGCAAACATCTTATTTTAATTCAGAGATAGATTAAATAATTCAAAAGCATACTCATATGGACACTTGGCATTTCATAATTAGTCAGAGGATTAAACCATGGACTAAATTTAGTCCGCTTTCGAGAATACCACCCAGGAATTTTACAGACACAAGTCAAAGAGGAAATATATTGCGTCTTTTCAATATTCGAGGGAGCGTAGCGAACGTTCGAGAAAATTTCATTTTAGAATGCTAAAAGTTTGCATTTTAGATCACTTGAAATGTTTTATTGTACATCATTAAGTAGTGCATAATTACATTTTCCCTTATTTTCCCTGCGAGGGGGCCTTTGGGGAACTAAAAATCCCCTACTACAATCATTGGCGGGCATCAGTTTGCCCCCTCCTCTCCCGCTTTCGACGCCTATATGCCTGGAAAATAATGTTTTAGGTCCAAGTAGAGAGCGAATTAAATGAGCGCAGCGTCTAACGGTGTGGGCTCCAGGGGCACGATTAATTACCAGGAGTTTGACAACGTTTATCTCGAATTTTGTAATCTGTATAATCTGGTAAAGAACATCTTTTTACGTTGAATTACTCTCAAACATTTAGAAGGACATCAACATGTTTCTATTCCAGAAATGTTATTAGCAGAGATGAAAACTCAGTGTATCAACATTTGAAGAAATTGGATGATATTCTATCTCACTCCATCCACTTTAAAGGTAATACAAAGTTTTGGTAAATTTTGAAAATTGGGTGGATAGTAATTCTTTACAATTTTTATATATATGGATGCCCCTGTGGATGAATTATGAGCACAACAATTTTTAGCCCCTAAAACACTTCTGCTTTTGAGAAAAATGGAATATAAAAATTTACCGGTGCTCCCGGTAAATTTTTAATAAATTTCAAATAGCGCCTACGGCCGTACAATAGTAGCTGCGACCGTGAAAATCTCAGAATATGTAGTTGTGATATATAATTTCCAAACGGGAATAGCTAATCGGTTGATTTCAGTCAAGAAAAATTGTTTTATAGGTTAATTAATATCTTGACCTTGAGAGGGAGCTATAAAGCATAACGAGTTGATTATTGACATTTTCATAACTTTAGACTTGATTGCAACCGCGACAATGATCACTAATTATTGTCGGGTCGCATATGCTTCCAATACTTTTATTTGAACCAAATTCATGACCTCATACCAAAACTTTGTATTACCTTTAACTATCATATGGTACAGTGCTTACACTTAATTGTCATTTGAAACGTGTTTACAACTTAGTTTTCCCGTAAGGTCTCCCAGATCGGCAGTATTTAAAACCCTATACATTTTAACTGCAGTTTATATATCTTTATCGTTTCATATGTACTGTGACAGTCTTATTTCATACAAAATAACAATTAAATATCACACTCTCGGTGGAGGGGGGGGGGGTCCTTTAATTAAATTCTCTATCATTGACTATTACTATAGGTATCCGAGCGAAAATAGTACCTCGCGAGTTTCAAAGGTAGGGGCTTTTGACATTATTCTTCCAAGTCACGACCTATTATGTCTGGAAGGACTATGTGCGACTCGCAGTTTATTTTTATTTTCAAATCCTTGGTCTCTATTAGGAGCATTCTACAAAAACAAAAACAAAATGGTAACCCGGCCCACTCCTGAATTAATGCAGAAAAGCACGGTTTATTCCCGCAAAACAAGACAAAATAAAGTCCCAACAACATTTCCAACGGAACAGTTTATCAAACCAGAACTCATGAATTCATGCAGGAAAATATGAGCTTCACACTAAACAAGAGCAAGATAAGGTCACTCTCTCTCTCTCACTTCAAGAATTTTACTCATCGCAGGACCAGTGTCAAGACAATGGTATGAAAGATGTAGCATAATTAAAGACAGGCTCACCTTTATTACAGGAACAGTTCTACAGAAAATAAAAACTCATCATTTCATACAGAAAAGGTATAAGAATGAAATCAAAACAACAAAAATCATCGTTCAAGAATATAAAAGGCTACATCCATCATCCTAGACAGGTCTTGAAACAGATTAAAAGCTCGGGACCTTTTTCTTCTTCCTTAAATAATTATCTTTCACCATTGTCCATGCGTGGGGGTGCTATTCAACGTTACAGGGGCAGTTGGTATGGTGATATAAATGTCACTACGACATACACAAGTCAGTAACTATCGTGATTGCTTCCTTTTCACAAAATAAAGGAAACTTTAAAGGAATCATACTTGCGGGAGAATGAAGTGGGCGAAAATGTTGGGAATATATTTTGGCTTCAAATATTGGTAATTAATGTTGTAAAGCTAAGCATTTAAAAAATAATCAAGAGCATCCGAAGATCCTCTACCACTACTCTCTCCATAAAAATAAGATTAATAATAACAATGATGATGATGAAAATAAAGAAGGTGATGAAGGCGCTCCAATATCATCTCGGCTTTACCTGGGCTCCTGATTTCGTTGCCCGCAGCATTCAAGGTATTCCTTCCTACTGGTTCTATTAACACTTGCATGACCATGACCATGACCTTGGCGGAAAATTGCAAAAATGTCTTGCCAGAAGACTTTATAGTGTCGCGCCGAGGCTCGAATCCACGGCCTTCGCATCTCCAGTCGTTTTTACACCACTTGATCGGATGCGACACCTCTATGGTTGAGCCAAATGTCTGAGGACACCTCTTACAACCATTTCAAAAAATAGAAAATTAATATATGTGCAGGCCGGTCAAGATTGAAGGACAAACAAAAAAGGCTTGATCAAAGTTCAGAAAACCTTTGAGTATATCTATACAGCATATGATGTCAAATATTGACACAAGCGGTGTACTAGGCTAGTACACCGAAATATGCTGAGCATTTATTAACGTACAACGACCGGCTTGAATGATAGCACAGTTTAACTATGGCTTCTCTCAGGACAGTAATTGTTGTTCTGCTTGGATTTTTACACGTCGGTGAAGGAGGTAATATCCTGATATTCAGTGGATATGGGGAAGGGAGTCACTTCATGACTGCTGCCCTTGTTGGCAAGGAGCTGATGCATCGTGGCAACAACGTCACTGTGTTAATTAGCAATGCATACGAGCACAGAGTTAATGAAACCAAATACAAGGATTTAAACTTTGAAATCTTCAAGCACATCGTTCCGCCTGAGGAAGTTCGAATGCGTCTTGAGCGTTTTACAGAGTCGATCTTTAAGGGAACCTGGTTAACGGACGTCATGTCGAACTTGACAGTCCTAACGGGGGAGATGGCCGATGACTGCCATGCGTTGTTCAACGATGAGGCTCTTCTACAAAGACTCCTCCAAGCTAAGTTCGATGTGGCTTTTGTTGATCCTATATGGCCGTGCTCGTTGCTTGTTGCTGAGTACGCGGCCAAGAGACATGTGTCTTTTATGGCTACTGCCTGGATGAACGACATTGCCCGCGTCAATGGCAATCCTTCAAACACCGCCTTCGTTCCAGAGATGAATACTGGTTTCACAAATAAGATGACATTTATCCAGCGGATTATCAACAGCATCGTGGTCATGCTCTCGATGTGGCTAAACGTTTTTACAGATGGCTACACCCAAATACAACATGCTCATGGGATTTGCCCCGATCTCCAGCCCTCGGAGCTCTACAAAAGGTCACAACTGCTTTTGGTTAACGTCGATTTCGCATTAGAGTTTTCGATTCCCATCATGCCGCATTTGATACCAGTCGGTGGCCTGTCTTCAGGACCAGCAAATAGTTTAAATCAGGTAAGTCTTATCGGTATACGTTTCTGCCATTTCTACGAGACAGAAAAAACTCATTTATTCAAAAGAGTGTTACTTTCTGAACCAAAATAACGAATGATTTCCCTCTTTCCAACAATGTTTCCCAACGCCATTAGGCGGCGGCGTAAGTCTAGTCGAGGGAGTGGATGGTGGACACATTAAAGATACTGTGTCCCTTTTGCAGCCAACATCAAATTCTGTAGAACTTTAGAAAAGGTAATTTTCGGGTCACAATTATTTTTTTCCCCGTCTTTGGGTTTTTTGGCCAGGGGGGAGGGGGCGAG